AAATAAATGCATATAATTGCATATTTGGAATAAAAATTATGCATATATATGCGCATATTTTGATTGAATTTAACTGCATATATTCCGCGCTTTAGTTATAATAGATAGATAGAAAGCAAGAAATTAATTTAAATTCACGCAAAATTTTTTAAAAAGCGTTCATTTTTTCTTCCTCTGCTTACTACTGGCCGAATGGAATGGTTTAGTTCAGTTTTCAAAATTAAAAACTCGGATAACTTTGATGAAGAAAGATGTGCAAATAAACGATTTTTAAATTTCGCTTGGAATGTTACTTCTACATTTCCAAGAAAACTAAGAGAATAACGAATAGATTTGATTCAAAATGGGCAATCAAAAATTTAAATATTTTTTTATTAATTATTAACACCTACTTCTGAAAATGCAAAAAAATGTTTTTTACATTAAATATTCGTATGAAATACATAGAAAAACAACACATTCACTGCAAGATACTGTCGTAGCAAAGTCGCGTAGCCGTCGTAGCAGTGTAATATCTTTTTTTGTATTATTCAATTTCATTTTATTAACTTTATATTTTAATCGGACATATTTAAACAGAGATTTGAGCGAACGATTACTGAGATTGTTTGTTCAGTCAACGGAAATAGATACTATTTTTCGCCATTATATCAAGAAACATCATTTAAAGTTGTTAGTAAAGGTATTATCTAGATGGTGAGCGTATTATTAACTTCAAGTTCAAGGGCCTGATAAACTATAAAATTGCCTCAATTTTATTCCTTAATTTTATTTTCAGTTTCTATTTATTTTTGTACTAATATTTTGTTTAAGTTGCATATATTTTTAAAAATTCAGAAAAATTTGGGAAAACCCACGTGCAGTTGGGAAACATTAATTGATAAGCTAAATAAGCAAAAACAATTAATTTCTTGAAAAAAATCAACTCTCAAGAAAACCAGGCCATGGATGTAGATACAAATACAACAATGGCAAAACACTTCATTTATCAAGTCACTTTGCGTCTACAAAGTCAGTTCAAATTTCTGACAGCTTATGTCTGATTGTTGTTTTTCTTTCATATTTGTTGTATTGTTTTTATGTTAATTATTTGGAATTAATTTGAGAGAATTGCTGATCGGAATTATGAATTTATGCCAAATACAGCCACGTGTTTTAGGCCGAATTTTCACAACCTGCAACTAGATATGATCAATGGCTCAACTATGTGACAATTAATCTAAACAGGATATTGTTTATTGTAGGTAATTAAAACAGTATGTGCATATTTTATGTGCCCAGATCAATATTCTAGAGTCTCTTTTAAAAGTTGTTTTGGAAGAGTTTTACTGTGCAATCTCAAAAATGACTGATTACGATAAGAAGTTTGAGGAGGATCTGGAGAGAGCACAAGCTCTCAGTTTAGAATCTTTGGCTTTAGAGCAATTTAGAAAGAAGAAACTACAGGAGTTGAGCAAAAGCTCCAGCAATGGCCAGAGCAAAAAGGCACCAACAGGTAATTAGACCATAACATGAAATATATGTATCAAACACTAAAACATTCTTCCTGTTTTTTCCACTCCTTAACATAAGTACTCAGTATAAGTTTTCTTTTAGTTACTCGTGCTGCCTCAATGACTGAAACTGATTCACATTTTAAATACGAGAGACAATGGAGCAAATCCAGGCCAAGACCTGGCACATCGGTAGGCTCAACATCAAGTGCTCTAATAGCTCCTCCACCAGCTGCACAAAAGCCCCAAAAGAAAAACAGTAGTGCTAGTGAAAGTGAGGATTTGATATCGTTTGCTAGCCCACCAGCTAGCACGACAGATATTATTGAATTTTGCAATCAGCAGAGGTCAGTTATCAATCATGTGGCCAATCACTAATCATAGTTTACAAATCAGTAGATAGTAGCGATTAGCAGTTTGATCCCCCTAAATATGGAATTCATTTGATCATAAGAAACACCTTAGTTTTCCCAAAGATAGTAAATAGTTGTTAGAAAGATGCGTCGGCAAACGATTCCTTTACGAGCTTTTTTAGAGACATTTTAAAGTACATCTATATGTGCTTAAGTTCTAAATTGGTTTACAGTGCTTTTTTAGTCAGCTTTTCAAATAAAATCAGGTTCATTTCCTGTCTGCTGTAAGCTTATTGTTCAATTTTGTTTCTTTTGCATGTGTCTTGGTTACCCGAAATTGTTAACAGATGTTAAAACAATGCAATACAATATGAACATTTTCAAATTCAATAGATGATTTCAAAGTTAGGAATGTGTTCAAGGAATAAAGGCGTTTGAAGTTTGGGGTATACAGGGTGTTCCGTAAGCTCATGATCAAAAGGGTACTGCGATATTATTTGGACCAAAAGAAGACGATCTGACCTAACTTTTATTAACAAAAAATGTCTGGCTCATCTGCTATTGATGGTCAAAGTTCTTCAAAAAATTTATCTTTTTCGAAATATCGGGAGAATGGTACGATCTATTTTAGTGAAACTCGTGGTACAAAAACTACCAGAACTTTTTAGTTGGAGAATGAAATCAACTCATTTTTTTTAGGTTGATGCACTAACCATTTGTTCACAATTTTGTGCTCTTTGTAAAATCTTGTAGCATTTTTATGCTTTCACGCTTTCATTTTTATGCTGGCATTATTTTCTTGTTTTTGTCAGATCGTTTTCTGGACTTTTATTGGTGAAGGTTTACATTACTTATCAGTTTCTAAAAGGTGTGTTATATTTACTTATAACACCTGGACATTTTGGGGGGTGATTGTAGACTGAAATGATTAAAAAGTTCTAGTAAACATTTTAGATAAACACATAAAGAAATGTGCTTCTTAAAAGAACCGCAACCCCTTGCGGAAAAGGAGAGAAAAGAAATAGTACTGAAGGTGCTTTGCAAACGATTCGCTCTAAAGTTAATAATAACTGTATATTTTAGTCAGAGGCGTCTCATTCAGGGGGTTTCTTTACAGCTCTCTCTATACACGTTTTTTTGCAGAAAACAATGCAAATTAATTAGATAGACAGACATTTTTTTTAAGATTGTGGCATTCATCTATGCTTAATTATGATAAAGCTAATCAGCGGCAAGATAAGAAGCCATTACCTGAGAATATCGCTTATGATGCCGATGATTTCATTTCAGTTACAATACCAACAAGCAAGTAGTTAGTGTGAGCGCGCCCGCCGCGATCCAGCAGTCCGCCTCCCAAATGCATCCATACTGGCAGCACCATTCCCATATGGGTCCGCCCAGGTACCCGCCAATGCCTGGATATCCGGATCCAAACGGTTACCCGCCGGCGCCGCATTATGGCTATCCGCCTTCCGGTCCCGCGTATTACCCTCCGGGAAATATGGGATACTATCCGCCGCCTCCTCCAATGATGCATGCGAACATTTATCCTAAATTGCCTATGCAAATGGGGCACGTGCCGCCTTTGGGGTTTAATACAGGTATGCCCGGAAGTTATCCGGATAATAATATGCCACCTCCACCTCCAGGTATCCGAGGTTTTGGTCCAGAGGTAAGTTTCTCAATTTTTCACATTTTGTTAGTAAATTGCGTATTTATTGGTTGGTGTCGTACTAGTATTGCACCGAACGCTGGCAGATAACACCAATTATTTGTAGATAAGGAATTATTTATTTATTAATATGATTTTGATGTTTTTTAAAGCGATAGCTTACAAATAAACACGTTAAACAGACGATTCGATTCTTCTTCAGTCTCGTCTTCTTGTTAAATAGTCTCACAGATAGTTGCCAGAACTGACAAAATTAAATGGAAAATTTCAGATAAACATGTGCCGGCAAACGTTCTGTTTTCCAGATACAGTGTTGAAATTGGTATTTTTATCGATTTTTTCCGATCCAACTCCCGCATTTTTTTAGACGTCGAAATTAAGTCATCGTTCATTGCGTTGAATAAACTTTAAACTTTTTTGTTGGGTGCCAATGAGGACTCACGATTTTTTAATAGTTCTTGGTTCTAATGGGAACATTTCCTGTCTTTTGCATTTTTTTCGCAACTGCCACTGTTTTCGAGTTATTTACAATAGAATTAATGCATGCGGAATTTCAAGCTTTAAAGCGATGGCTGCAGGGTGTCGCTTACCGCAAACTTAATAAGTGGTAATATTAACAATGAGGAATTAATCTCACTAGATAATCTTAAATCTGAGGGAAATGTCTCAGAAGCTGCAACAGTTAGGACGGGAAGCAAAATAAAATTTAATCACCCTGTATATCGGAAGCGAAGCAATTGCGGACGAATTATTACATCATTCTTAGGGTGGCTTTTTCTTTAATTACATTTAGATTACTTCCTCTGTTTATTAATTTCGCTAAATATGGTGAAACTGAAATCAACCTTTTTTGAGTTCATTTTAGTAACATTTTATTTGAGCGCTCGAAGCGATTTGGATTCAATTTTAAATTAAAAAATTAAAAATAGGAGACTAAACGTTTCTCTAATCTTCTGCAAGGCAGCCACCGACTTGCCAGACACCATGTGTATATATTTATATTTTCATTGTAAAAAAAATGCTTCCATATTACACTGGAAAACTGTTTGTTCTTATAAACATATAGATTTTTGTCTTGTTTGCTTTAATGCTACTTCCAAAGCAAATACTTTTCAACCCGAATTCCTTGAAGTGAAAGTTTGAAGAACTCAAACGGGCAAATATTAATTAAATAGTCTCAATGCGTTTTAATGCCTATTTAATGCGCTGAAACCATCTATTCGTAATGTTTAGCCTTAGTCTCAGTTAGTTATCGTGTAATCTTGTTATTTTCGCCACTCGCTCATAGATGATTGACAATATTTTCAATAATAAATCCGATAACAATAATCATTTTTTTACGTGAAAGTGAAAAAGAGTGAGTCGATTGAAACAGCAATTGTTTACTAACTATTTGTGATGTTTTACAAAGTAATTTGATGCTAAAGTGGGTTGCAATTTGCAAAAATGGCTGATGTATTCCTAGCCCCCCAACTAACTGAGAATTTTTATTAAAAATATTTAGCGTTATTTTCATTTTGTGTTGACTAATTGAGTGCAGACGACGACTAGAAGAAAATGTGCATTCTCAATTGCGTCCCCGATGATTAAGGTTTGAAGAATCTGCAAAAACTTACACATTTGATTGAGAATGCAGATTTTATTCGGCTGGTTCACCCTCTCCTTTAAAGTTGTTTCTAATATATTTCAGTACTGCTCTGAATGTGTTACTTAATTTTTTAAACCAATTATTACATTGCGTTAGAATCGTTTTGTTAATTCAATCTTAGGTGTTTATGTTAAACGTAATACTTTGAGTGTTGCACAGACCTGGGACTTGCACCACCCTATTAACCTTGCGCATTTTTTACTTCTACTGTGCTGCTTAGCTTGATGTTAATGTACTTGAAAATCAGTTTCATACCACAAATTCGGGCATGTTATTTTAACATGCCCCGGATGTATGAAACGAGAAATTTCCAAACTAATCTTAGCAATGTTACGAGTGGTTTTGCGTTTTTCTTTTAGCCTCCGCCCGCTTTACCACCTAAAAATCAAAAACGAACGCCGCCTCCTCACTCCACTTTACCTCCGAAATCGTCTACGGCATATTCGCAAGTAACATCCGGCTCGACGGTAGCGTCGAAAAGTGCCGTAAAACGTGAGAAAAGTAAAACGAGTGAGAGTAACTCAAACAATCTTATCGATTTGGCTCAAATAGATGATAGAAATAGCGTTAGAGTGAGCATTTTACAGGAATTTGATCCTATTTTATCTGATTCACAGAGTTGTTATGGGAGCTATTATGGAAGAACCATGAGTCCAGAATATTATGGTGAGTTTTCACATTTTTATGCTACTTTGAATGGACGGATTTGTATTATTAAGATCAATTGGCTCTTGGTTTTATTGAAATTAAGCCACTCTTAACTAGGAGATTTCCTAGTAGGATTTTTTGAATGTTTTTAGGAGATGACACTCTCTCTGTTTGTGATAGCGTGTACGATGAGTACTACGATTATGATTTTATTTACTCTGGATCGGGAAATAATAGCGTATCAGGACATACGACAGTATCAGAGCCGCTCTATGCCTCATTGAATGTTAGTCTGAGCAAGTTGATCGCGGAAAGTAGCCCGCATTCGCCCAGTCCTCCTATACCGCCAAGAATGCGCATTAGCACTATCGATAGGAACTTGTCGAAGAAAATGAAGGTAGGCAAAAGCGAATTTTATTTAGAATCCCAATGTTCTTTTTCTAAATGAATTGTTTTCATCATTATCGCACGTTGAACACAACTTTGGTTGATCAACAAAATTGGTGATTTGCTTTCCATCCCCAGCGTCTCATCTGGTTTAACTTCTTTGACTGAATAATATAATAACGTTGCTTTCAGCCGAACCTTCTGAATGATGTGGTTGAAAACGATGAAAAAGCATTAGCGAGGGATCCCGATTTAAAGGCATTCTACGGTATGGTGTACCGAGTCAGGAATAGTTACAAATACAACGACCCAGACACGAACATGGGCCTGGTCATAAGTCCTTTGGTGAATTACAAGTACCATGAAGGGCTGAGTATTAAGCTGAGGGTGCATCCGGATTTTGAGGGCGCGGACTTTAACAAGCCAGTTACGTTTACCTGTGATGTTACAACTAGTATTGAGCATGTAACTATGCAGTTGGTGTGCAATCTTGAGGCGCCGCCCCATCAGAATTATACCCTTAAAGTGTGCGGGTTTAATGAATATCTTGTGCCTACCACGTTGCTCTGCGACTATGAGTATGTGCATAATTGCATTAAGCTGGACGAAGATGTAGTTTTGGTGCTCATTCCAGACTCGATGAGAGATAAGTCATTTGCTAGAACTGTAAGTGGAAATTCTACCGCCTTGATCTCAATTCACCGATTTCGAATTCGCTTTTAGGTTCAAGATGATTACGCAGACAAGGAAGTTACTTTCGAAAAAATCGTTCCTAGTGAAACAGTTTCTCACATTACATTCGACAGTCTTAAGATATTGCTGGGTGAGTTGAACATAAGCGATTAAATCGACTCTAATGGCATTTAATATTTTTGCAGAAACCGTCGAAAGCGAAATTAATAAATTGGAAGAACAAGCTTTGGAGCTGGAAACGACCAATAATTTGGAGGCCGCTTCTATACTGCAACCTTCCAAAGTTCTACAGTCGGTTAAATACATCGTCAATTTGATGAGCGATTTGTGTACTTTGGATATAATGCAGACTGTCGAAGCTTTAATTGAGTCCTGCAGGGATCCCAGTTCAATTGCTGTACGAAACAGTGGTTTTATTATGAGATCTAATCGTAATTAACATTTGCGCCTTTATAGGGTAGTTTTTCGGAAACGGTGCGAAGCAATTGCAACAAAGTGAGATTAGCGATTCAGAATCTCATTGATATGTACTGCCAAACGTTCTCAGTTAATTTTGAAGTTATTTCCACACCTTCTGAACGTAAGTAAACGGTTCTAATCAGAATTTGGGTACTTGAACAGCAGTGGTTTCTTTACAGCTTCACGAAGCGTTTGCGACGTTTTGGATTCGGTTATAGTCAGAATTTGCGCGATTTACCGACCGAGTCCCAAGTGGGAACACGAATCATATTATATTTCTGGCCAAATTTACCACGGAACAAGGAAGATTAGCAAGCCAATTTTTACGCAAGCCTGTGGCAAGACTGAAAGGGATAAAATGTGGCCTTCTAGAATTGTTTTTGATAGTTGGTAAGAATTCGGAATTGACTACTGTTAGTTGATAAGTGAACATGATTTCCCGCAACATAATGATCATAAATAATCAATTGCGCATTTGAAGTTAATCACACACTGCTTTAGGTTGGAATTCGAAGACGTTCCTATTAGCAATTTAGCTAGAGAATCCAGATTGGTTTTGCAAGTATTCGGCAGAACATTGGATACCACAGAGACTGAAGAATCTAAAAACTCAAATATGCCACTTTACAAAGAGGAGGAGATCGGTTGGGCTGCAGTTCAGTTTTTCGATTATGAAGGGTATGAAACGATCAATTTTATCCAAATACCTGATTTATTGTCCTAATTTGCCTCCTCTGGAATCTGTTCTGTAAATTATTTAAAAAATGAACACTATAACATTGCATTTTAGGCTTATGATACAAGGCAGTGCTCTTTTATCCGTTTGGCCTCGAGAATCCAATCATATCAACGATCACATTTACGGGCCAGCCCCTGCTATGGGATCTCATCCTTTAAACGATCATGCAATGATTGGTGAGCAAACAAGATCCATAAAATAATATGTGCGATTTAGACCTGATTTTATTTCTAATTAATTCCAATGTTGGTTAAATGTATTTTAGGCATTGAAGTGGTGTCCCCATCGAAAGTGGTATTTCCCAAAGTGGAAAAGAATTTACAAACAACTCTAACACAAGGAGATTTTTTCAGTTTAGATAAGGAAACGCAAGAATTACTTACAGATGCCTGCGAACAAGACATGTTATTCAAGCTGCCAGCCGATGTTAGGTGAGTATTTTTTCCAGTAAGCAAGAAGCAAAGAATATATTTTGAAATGATTTCTAGGGAAATTTTGTGGGAAAAGCGGCATTATCTAAATCATATCCCCCAGGCATTGCCAAAGGTTCTGCTGGCTGCTCACAGTTGGGCTTTCACAAACGTGCCTGATCTGCATGGAATGTTACATTCCTGGGAAAAATTGGAACCGAAACAAGCTTTGGAGCTGCTGCTGCCTGTGTAAGTGCATACTATTTATTAAAATTAAAACTGATTAATTGTTGTTTTATAGTTACCCTGACATCGAAGTGAGAAAAATGTCCGTAAAATGGCTGGTGCACTTTTCAAACGACGAGCTAGTCGACTATCTTCCGCAACTTATCGTTGCCTTGCGACATGAAACCTATGAAAATTCAGCTCTGTCCGAATTCATGTTACACCGGGCCCTTCGATCGCCCAGGTTTGCTCATTATCTGTTCTGGTTGCTCAGTCACAATTTACCCGGATCTATACCTCAGGTAAGGATGCCTACGGTTATATTATTTACAAAAAGTCGAACCTGCAAAAGCTGCATACAGTTCCAAGTATATTAATAATGATGCCGTCTGTATTATCCAGAAACACCGTACTTGGGACTTAGATATTTTCATTGGATACAATCAGGTCAGATAATCCTCTTCCAGTTTGGGGTAGATTTGGTGCAAGTCAATGCATTTTGCCTTTAGAATTTTGAAGTTTTCCGGTTAGAAACGTTGCAGTAACGTAGTTTTTAATTGTTGAAATAAACGAACCTCTGTTAGTCTAGTAACATTGACTTTTCTTATAGTTTCCATAGGATAAAAGATTTAAGTTTTGTTTTTGGTAACGCTCATTGATTTATTGCGATTACTTTTTCGAGTAATTTGCACTGTTTCTAGTCACAGGCATGAGTTTGTAGGGGAATGAATTAGTTTTGAGAAGTTTACCACCAATCTTATTTTTCCTTAGTCGAGTTGGAATGTAAAACTCGTAATAAAAATGTTACTTCTAATAAATCCTTAGCAAACGTAAAAAAAATTCAAAATTAATTTTTATTTCAGAACACAAATGTAGATCTAAAAGAGAATAAAAACGACTTGAACGACTCGAGTATCAGCGAAGTGAGGCATCATCGGCGAATGAAGTTACTGCTCAGAGCCTTACTGGCGATTTGCGGTGAATCTTTGAGGAAATGCTTTATGTCCCAGCAACTACTGGTTAAGGTACAAATTTCAGACACTTAATCTTCTAAGTTTCCAAACCCCGATTTTTTCAGCAATTGAACGATGCAGCTGACAACCTGAAAAAAGCCAAAGACTCACAGAAATTAGTTCATCTGCATCGCGACTTGGATGCAATTAATAATTACCTGAACGACAATCCAACTAGTTTGCCTCTTTCGCCCACCCTGAAAGTCAATGCAATCGATGTTAAAGGCGAGTGATCGATAGCAATTTTAATTATTAAAATTGACCAAATGTATGCATGGTTTAATTGTTCTTATTTCTACACAGCAAGTGCGTATTTCGCCTCAAATACTTTACCGCTTAAGATCAACTTTGTGGTGGAAGACAGCTCAGTGTACTACGCAATCTATAAAGTAGGAGATGATCTGCAGCAAGATGTTCTGACTCTGCAGATGATTCGCTTAATGGACCGGCTTTGGTTGCATCAAGGAATAGATCTGAAAATGGTCACGTTCAATTGCATTCCCACTTCAAAAAGAAAAGGTACCCATGATTTTCGCGAGTGTGGTTTGAGAAAAAGTTATCAAAAGCTCAAAGTTCAAAAGTAGCGCACCCTTAAGAGGTCTAAAATTATTGGTGCTAGAAAACGACCCTACGAAACTCTTCCGGTTGCAATTGATGGAACCGAACTAATGGACGTAGAACACTATTCTTATACATTTTCTACTTATTAACGTCTATTCACTCATTCAACGTGTGTTTAGGAATGATAGAAATGGTGACAAAGTCAGAGACGCTGAGAAAAATCCAAACGGAACATGGATTGACGGGTTCTTTTAAGGATAAGCCCATTGCAGAATGGCTGGCTAAACACAATCCTACAGAACTGGAATACACCAGTGCAGTCCAAAACTTTACAGGTAGAAGATGTGATTTTTTTATTTGTAACTTCTTCATATGAGAAATTACGCTGGAAATTGGGTTTATTGATTTGTGGGCGTTTGTTTCAGCATCTTGCGCCGGGTACTGCGTTGTCACCTACATAATGGGAATTTGCGATCGACATAACGACAATATTATGTTAAAAACATCGGGCCATCTGTTTCACATTGATTTTGGAAAATTTTTGGGAGACGCCCAGATGTTTGGTAATTTCAAAAGGTAAATTCAAATATTACATGAAAATCAGAATTGTCTGTATATGGCATTTGTAATACTTACCCAACTACTTAATGTTTTATTTTGTTTCTCAGGGATCGGGCTCCATTCGTCCTGACCTCCGATATGGCGTACGTTATAAACGGTGGCGATCGACCCACTGAGAAATTTCATCAGTTTGTCGATTTGTGCTGTCAAGCTTTTAACATCATCAGGAACAACCGAAACTTGTTCCTATTTTTGGTTGGTAAAACTCTTCAATATTTTTCAGGCTCCTAATCATTTATTATTTCGGATAAAATTACACAATTAAATGAAATTTGTGTTTTTTTTTTTCAGATGACATCCTCAGGTATATGTAGCATTACTCCCGAGTCCGTCGGTTACATGCACAGGGCGTTGTTGCCGGAAATGTCCAATCCGGAAGCTTCCGCCCACTTTACCAGACTGATCGAAGAATCTCTTCAAACCAAATTTACCCAATTCAACTTCTTTTTGCATAATCTCGCTCAAAATTTGTCCCAGTTGAAGTTCACCTCCGATAGTCAGAGCGCTTCATCGTTGTCGTTTGTGCCAAAAATTTATAGGTAAGATCCATGTGCACAATCAGCAAAAAATTGGCTTAATCATACATATTTTTTTGTTAGTATGATTACTGATGGTCGGTTGACGCATGTGGAAGTAGCTGGTTACCGAAAGCGTTACGATCCCGACAAGTATTATGTGTATGTTTTGCGCGTGTACAGAGAGGATCAGAAACAACCCATGGAGATCCAAAGGACCTACAAGGAGTTTTCCGAGTTGCACCAGAAGCTTTGCTTGAACTATCCGTTGGCTAAATTACACAGGTAAGTTATTTTTTCCTATTTAGGATGTCTTTTAAAAGCAATTTTAATGCAACAGAATTAAGTAATAAACATTTTGCGAACACATTTAAAACGTTCACTCATCTCCCACGGTTTTGCGGCTAATTCTAGCAGGAAACAAAGTAATAGTTTAGCACTCCGCACTTCTGTTATTTGCTCCTTCGTGCTCGTCCAGGTTTATTCTCCTCGGCCTTTGGATTTCGGGTTCTTCATCGCCTCCAAAGAATATGCTAGCGGCTTGACTGCTTGTGCTTCCCAGAGCCCGAGAACTCTGGCTGTAACCAGTACTGTACGCATAATTGTCATTTGAAGTAGTTTGCGTTGTTTTTCCAGAGAATGATGAATATTCCATAGATGGAGCTGTTCGAATTTCTCTTTTCCTGCTGTTCACCATCACTGTAGCTCCATCGCCTGGGTCTGAAGCATTGCTTGTTTCCCGCAGTTCAAACGCAGATTTGGATTTTAAAATTGATTTAGTTGCTTCCTTGCCTTCCACATCTATTCTGTTTATGTGATTCGTTGAAGCACTGGATGACGTTGGGTTAAAGCTACTAGTTTTCCCGATCACATAAGTTTCATCTGGTGCAGGCTTCAAATTCTCGTTTGATCTGCCTATTCGCACATCTACTGAATTTCCGTTTGCTATCGTTCTAGCCTCATAAGATTTAGCTGTTTGATGTTGTTCGGACTCGTTGAGTGCATGCGCTCTTGGAGGCAAAGCAGGCACTTTTTTTGCAGATTTTTTCGCATTCGGGTTTGTTACTATCAGAGTTTCTATGGGAGGTGATGTGGATGGGCCTTGACCATTTCTATTGGGATCTAGCCGAGATGGCACAGTTTTAACTCCAGGTACTCGTTTTGGGGTTGATCTTGGTGGCAGCAAGTCTGAAAAATTGCACAGTTTTAAGCCAGTTTTATTAAAATGGATGAACTTAATGTTAGTTAAAACTTGGGGCTGTTAACCTGGGTATTTAAGCAGGTTTTAGTTGGTGGCGGTAAATTTCATAAAAAATTGTTTAGTTTTTGGAATCGACTGGTAAATCTTATCATGTGATCGGAAAGGATTTAGAATTCTGAAGTAGCAATAATTTACTTTGTCAGTAATGATTTATTCCATTTTAACTGCCTGTGTGCAATCAATCACCCTTTCATTTATTATCTGTCGTTAATATGTTCAACTTTTTAAATAAACCTCAGTAGTCTCTCTAAATGTTTTTATTTAGTTGAATAAGATGAAATAATATTGTACATAATTTGAACCCTATAAATTTGGTGTTTTTCTCTTCCTGAAATCCTCTGTTCAAAATGGCACGGTTTTTGAAATTCTGTTTACAGTTACTTTTTTAAATATAACGGTTTTATTGAGTTTAAATCCACTCTACACCCCTCTATTCATTTTTACGAACAGCCACGTTTTTGTGATCTGGTGTTTCGAACAGTTTTCACAATTAGATTAGTTTTTTTCATTACATTGTGTGAGTGTCCAATAATGACGAGTATTATTTGCAACACATTTTTATTCGCAGTTCTCGTTATTCTTGAAATATTTACGAAATACTTTTATGGACTTCTTTGCATTGATTACTTCAATTGCATATCATTATTATCATGGACAATATTATTCGTATCGGGCAACATGTTTTTCTTATATAATAATTTTATTTGGATCGCTTCTTATTATCGGCTTTCTACATACAATAAACAATGTAGGATATTGATTGTTGTCTACTGGATATGTAACAGCAAACATGTTTGCTCGCATGCATAAAATTACTTAGTACTTACATTGGGGAGGATCCTGAAACTCCGAGTATACTCTGTAACCCAAACATACTACTTCGTTTTTCTTTGCAGTTTTACTGGCGCTTTTAGCCGTTGAATCTTTACTGAATTTTGCCTTAAATCCTCCAAACAAGCCCATATTATAGCAGCAAATTCAATTATTTACTAAATATCGAGCTTGGTATCAGTATTAGATCACCGTAAGAAGAAACTTATTATCTTTCACCTGATAAAACACATTTTTGCTTTGCTCTCCTTATCTTAATTGTTTTTGGCGGTTGGATGGGTACGATTGCTTTCGGTTTGTTTTAAGTCGTAAAAACCCATTTGCTATCTAAAGCTAGGTTCGATGGTAGTGAACTTTTTTCACCTAATGAATATTGATTGCACATAGGGGATTACTGTTATCAGGTGTTTTCTTTTAAATTTTAATTACTGGGATTAAAAGTGTATATGAAGGGTCATTGTTAGATTAGAGACAATTCAAACTAGATACATTAAGCAAACTAGGTGAAAATGGCTGATCAATTTCAGTTTATCTACTGGACTGCATATGGGCAGGCAAAACATCAAGCAAGTAGCACAAAAGCGGTACCATGAGATTAGCTTGTTTATTAAGTCGCTGTTCGTTTGTGCCCAAGAAATTGCTCATTCCGATCTGGTCTACACCTTTTTCCATCCTCTGTTAAGGGACCAGAAAGAAGACGAAATATCAAAAGATATTACAGGTAAAGTTAAAGAAGTCATTGTATACCTATGCCCAGTTGTTGGATCTTCTAGAACATTTGTTGATTATTGTTATTGTTTTCTAGACAAAACTGCGAATTCGGAAAATGCTGGGCGGCTTAAAGGCCAGCTGAAGCTCTCTCTTTTGCATACTAAAGGAGTTTTCACAGTTATGGTGCATCATGCGCGAGGTTTACCAAAGTTGAACGGCCAGGAACCATCCACATATGTAAAAGTCTATCTGCAGCCCGATGCTTCCAAGAGCACGAAAAGGAAAACCAAAGTTGTTAAGAAAAATTGCCATCCAAGTTTTATGGAAATGGTAAGTCGGTGCATAAATTAAATTCTACTGGCGAAATTTCAAATGAAAAATTGGAGTGACGAAAGGTTGTCTAATTGTGAAATTTTTTGTCTAACGTCTAACTCTTTCGATTTTATTATCTTTATTAGGACTTCTAAGACTAAATCGACACTAACGCAAAGCGAAATGCACTAATAATTCTTAAAAAGTTCTAGGAGTGCGTTTTTTTCAATACATTTTGAGAAACATAATTTTTCTCTTATTATTTAGTATCTGGGGATACTCTAGATCTGTATTGCAGAATTGTTTCAAAACGAAACTTTATCATAAAGTAGATAAAGTTTCGTTTGTCGATAAAGATTGATAAAACTGTAATAATATTGTAAATTTGAACTTAGTTTTCGCAACTACATCACCAACTAATACAAATTAAGTAAATACGAATTCCAATTATAAAAAAATCGTTATCAGCTATTATCGCAATTTAAATGCTGCTAGTCATTCTATATTATGTTTATATAATTCAAAAATATAGTTTATTGCATATATCTGCAAATTTGCCACTCATCCAATGATTAAAATACATACAAAATAACTGATAGTACTGACAAAGTAGATCCAAAACTACACTTTACATTGCATTTCCCATATATGTAAAATCATATATTTTTGCTACAGATAGGTTTCAAAATAAAAAAACTTATCCATAATTTATGTATTTTTAGTTGGAATACCGAATGGCTATAGACATAATCAAGTCTAGGACATTAAAAGCGACCATTTGGAACTACGATCCGCTTCAGGAAAATGAATTTATGGGGGGCGTAGAGCTGAAACTGGCCACCTTAGATCTTGCTACTGAAATAACTGAATGGTATCCGCTGGTTAATTTGAGCAGATAGCACAGAAGTTATTACTAACCGGAGTATTAAAAAATTGTCCGCATGAAAAGTTTAGTGTATAATTGATAGTCGGAATGGAGCTTGTTCAGGGCTTAATTTCAGGTGTGATTTGACAAAACTACGTGATAATCTTTTGTGAAAAAGGAGGGAAGTTTTGGAAGTGGTGTGCAAATAATACTTTAGAATGTCGTCATAGAATTGAAGGGTTTAGACACGAATTATGATTCTTATTCAGGATATTGTTCAGGTGAAAATCTATATATAATAATATTCTTCCACTTGCAGTCTCTTAATGCATAGGCGATTCAACGCTTTGTCGTTTGCTTATTTGCGCACCATTTACTTTACTCTTACATTTATTCTTGACTGTATCAAGTGGGTGTTTCGCGTTATCGTCTTTTATATGATGGTGTATATTGAAAATGTGTAGGAAAATTTTATGGTAACTAGTCGGTTGGAATAATAGATTTTTTATATCGGAATTAATCGAATATTTATTGTTTTCCGCACAGATCAATTGCGTGATGTAAAATATTAAGTTTCATATTTAGAGTTGCGGATTAATAATTTTCAAATGCCCGCTGATTCAGACTTTTCGAGTCAAAGAATTGAACCTAATATTCACAGCATTTGTGATTGCTATATTTCAACTATCTTGAAGAAACTGCTCATATTTCGTTCTGGTATTCTTTTTAATGCGCCAAAGTTTGATTGAATTTATTTACATCAAGCTGTACTAATCGGTTAACTAATTTGTTTTTCACAGCATTGAGTCAGATTTAAAAAAACTAAACAAGTAGTTAAACTATTGGCTGGGTGTTTACATTTATTAAGGCGTATTGGAATATTTTTGCTGATATGTTATCAATACATTTTAATAATTAAATGCTGATGCTGAACTTTATAATTTCCTTTAAGAGACTGTAAGTTAACTGGCCCAGTTATTACTATTGTAAGCGGTGACTAGAGATTATTTATTGTTTTTGTAAATTATTTCCTAACTTTTCATTGCACGCGTAACAGCCGAACCGTTCATCTCGTGGATCTTAATATTGTGGTAATTCTATCATCTAATTAAATTGTTAAGTATACTATTAATACTACATCCTATTATGAAAATATATTTAATAGAAAAATTGCTTTGATTATTTATTTATCCTAGTTTCGGCGTGTCTTTCTCCTGATTCTAATCCCAAAGTATTTTTAAAACCTCGTGTGGGCTTGGAATAGTAAGTGTATAATTAGAATTAATGTATCAAGTCAACTGATTACCCCAGCGATCACATGGACAAACTTTATGGTTTTTCATGCGAACGACAAGGACGCACACTTAAAGGTGTGTTTTTGATGTGTTCTATTCAGCACGCTATTTAAGCAACCAAATGATAATAATGACTTTGAAATTCTGTTTATTCCTTGATAACCCACTGAGCAAAACATAGTGACAAAGTGCGAGTAATTTCCAATCATTTATGGTCGAACTTGCCTCTGTCTCCGAGCATCGGCGCTTTATCTGAATTAACAAACATATTTGATAAGAGTAATAGTTACAATCGTCTTGAAGTTTGGATAATTTCTAATATTCTTTAATATAACTGCACAGCAACAATGGGAATTGTTTCAAAAGGCGTTCTGGGATTAGTTTTAGCAATTATCACTTACATAGTTGTAGCGATTAATAAGGCGAGTTACATACCAGAGGTGCCGATTTATCCTGAAACATGGTGGGGCAAAGGAGATCCAGCTAAAGAAGACACTTCAATTAAACCGTTTAAAGTCGATGTTTCCAAACAAGTGAGTTGAATTAAGGAAAATTATCCTGCAAAGCTACAGAGGTTTATTTCGTGTGTAGATTTTGGATGATCTTAAAGATCGTTTAGATCGCGCGCTGCCTCTTCAACCTCCTTTGGAAGGTGTGAAACAAAACTATGGGATGAATTCGAATTTGCTACAAAAAATCGTTGACTACTGGAAAAATGACTACAACTGGTAACTCTAAAGCAGATTTTAAAATTTTATTAGAACTATGCCTCAAGTTCATTTACAGAGGAAAACAACTATTTTTGATTATGTATTTGCAAAGGTGCTACTTCCCTCAATTAACCAAAAGTAAAAATATATATTGAACACCCCCAACGATAGATTGGTTCTGAGTTTTCTGTATTAATTTAGGACTGAAAGACAATTGCTTCTAAACCAGTACCCTCATTACTCAACTAGTATACAGGGCCTGAAAATACACTTTATCCACGTGAAACCCTCGATAAGTAAAGAGTCAAATGTTAAAGTCCTTCCTTTATTGTTGGTGCATGGATGGCCCGGTTCTGTCCGGGAATTTTACGAAATAATTCCAATTTTATCCAAGCCTCAACCGGGTAAGCATGAAAAACTCCCCAATTTATATTCAAATGAGACTGCGATTTTCCCCTTGGATTTTTTAGGAAGGAAAGTGGTATTTGAGCTAATCATACCAAGCTTGCCGGGTTATGGATTCTCAGAAGCAACAAGCAAACCAGGATTATCAGCCGAACGAATCGGGCAAATTTTGAAAAATCTTATGATAAGATTGGGGCATGAAAAATTCTACGCACAGGTATAAACGCTTTGGCAGTGGCCCCATATTTTTATTTTGCAGCTTATTTATTTCTCTAGGGTGGAGATTGGGGTTCCATCATTACCTCACACATGTCGGTGTTATATCCGAATAATCTACTGGGTCTTCATTTAAATATGTGCGCTTGTATAGCAAAGTTATGCAGCTTGAAGCAATGGTTAATTGGTATGTACCCAAAAAACGTTTCACTTTTTTGTAGCCAAAATGTTACCTTTTAGGAACCATATTTCCTTCCTTGATTGCCACTGAAGAAGAGATGCCTTTCTTCGCTCCAGTGGTCACGAAAGCCGCAGAAGTTTTTCTCTTAGAAATGGGATATTTACATATTCAGTCCACTAAACCAGATACCGTAGGTTGGTATCAATTTTTTTAATTAAATGTATTAAAACATGTAAATCTGATTGGTTTCCAGGTGTTGCTCTTCGAGACAGCCCTGTTGGACTCGCTGCCTACATTCTGGAAAAGTTCACCACATGGACGAATAGAAAATGGAAAAACTTGGAAGATGGAGGTCTAACTAAGAAATTCACTCTGGATCAATTACTGGATAACGTGATGATTTACTGGGTAACTCGATCCATTACAACTTCTCAAAGACTTTACTCAGAAACCTTCAACAAAAACATGGCTGGTTATGGATTAAACGAGTAAGTTCAGCAAACAACAATAAAAATCGCTGATTTAAAACATTCGGAAATTTGCAGCATTCCTTCCAAAGTCTCCACTGGTTGTGCGAGATTTGCCAACGAAATAACCATTCATCCGGAGTCGTTGTTGAGATACAAATATCCCAAATTAATACAAGCACCGATTTATGCAGATGGTGGCCATTTCGCAGCCTCTGAAGTTCCCGAGGTGTTAGCCAAGGATATTTATGATTTTATTGAGAAAATCTTGTAGAATTTCAATAAAAGTTTTTAATTCATTGAAAGTATTTAAATAGCTATTTGGCGTGAACTCAAAGCATTTTGATAGCATTAAAATAATATAATGCGAATTTGTTGACCTCTGTGGCTTTCACGTTACATAGACATCCGATTTTCTCTGAAATTCAGTTCAATCGCACTGAATAAGCAAATGCGGTGTTATTGTACACTTTTAACATGGAAAAACACCTGAACAGTTTGAAAAACTAAAATCAGTATTTAAATGGTTCTTTTATACACACCCAAACGAATACACGCTTTGAAAATGCTACTCCATTACGTAAGTAATTTGGAGATTTTTTAAGAAATTTATTATTGAAAAATACACTTTTGTGATCTCGTTTTCTACACAAAGAAAAACAGGTTTTTAGTTCCAGAAAACAATGTATGCTCTTATCGGTATATACTATCGGTTGCTCTTTTCGCATGTTTACCGCATGAGTGCGGGCGATTCTGTTTCCTTTATGAGTTAATTTGACTGATATATTATATTTTAATTTGATGTAACTTGGAATTTTATAGATTCATTAACTGGTTTTCAGAGTTCAGTTTGGAAAACATCATACATTTGCTTCTTTTCAAAATAGTGTCTACTTTCGCGATTTAAAAATAATATCGTATTTTATACATTTAACTTATTTGGTTTGATTCAATGTAGATTTCTGCAGATTTTATTAGGAACCCGATATATTCTGGCGAAATTGGGATAATTTCTGCAGTGACTAGAAATGAAACAATGTCAATGAGAGATTTTTTAATTAAAAATGATATGTATTAAATTGCTAATCTTTTGAATCTCGCATACATTAACAAGAAAAGCTAGATAATTTTTTTTATAACTTTCTATCTACGAAAGTTGTATCCGTAAATAGAATGAGGGGGAAAGAAGGCTTAAGCGAACATATTTTCCCAAAATTATCTGTCTACACAAATGAAAAAATTGTGTAGCAATTTCCATAAAAGCTTCGTAGTTTAGTCAGAAAAGGTTTTTTTCTGGTGAACACAAGATCAGTCCTCAATAACTTCCACTTTTCGATGCTATCAGGAATAAATCCGATCCGCACTGTAGTTGCACCTCTTGATGCAAAACAGCGTCATAACGCTTGCAGCTCTTACTCAAAATGAGCGGTAATTGAGGCATTTTGGGCATGCGGTAGGAAGTAATCAATATTTATTTGTGCGCATCAGTTTCGCTGGCTAGCAAGCAGCCAAATGAAGATGACTTTTATATTCAGTCCAATTGAAAATTTGAACAAGCTTGTCTGGCACAAGATAAGGTTCACATAATACTAGTTTCACAATCATCCAATGAAATAATAGTAGTGTTATTAGAGTGCGTCTGTCTCCGGACTCAGCAGTTAACTATCCGACTAAATCAAATTTCGCTGTGCTAAACAGCAAACATCTACAGTAGCAATCTTAGTCGCCATCAGTAAAGAGCACTTACCTAACGGGATGGGGTTCATTTTAAAAGGGGTTTTGGGGCTGGTTTTGGCCACGCTTGCATATTTAGTTGTAATTTATTATAAACTCAGTTATGTACCAGAAGTTCCCGTATTCCCGGAAACATGGTGGGGCAAAGGTGAACCAGGAAAAGAAGATATCTCAATTAAACCGTTTAAAGTTGATGTTTCCAAACAGGTGAGAAGCCGCACGTTTGGCACGTTTAATGTGTGTTTGTAGGAAAAATGTGCATAATTTAAGCCTGCGATATTTCCTAGAAAAAAAATACGAATACCTAGTTCAAATATTTACAGAATCGGGCAATTTCTCATTACATTTTTGGACACGTTTTGTTAAGTACTCGCATACGCGCATAAGCGGCATTTAATTAATTTGCCTTGCATCGCGTTATTAGAATCATCTGGAATTTAATTTCTCGTTACCTACTTGGGGAAAGTACCATTTTTGTGGCCGTGATTTCGAAAACTCTGCTGCATCTTGCGGTTTTTCCTCTTCCAAAGTCCAGTAATAACAATTTTACCACATTTTGTTGCTTGCCAATTGCCAAATTGAATGTTTTTCGGTTCGTATGAAATTTTAAAATTTATTTTGCTAGTTTTTATATCGACTGGATTGTCGACGTTCTCTGTAGTAAAGTGAACATGAAAAATAAGTAGCTTTATTTCTTCATTTAATTTATTTAGAAATTGGCTTGAAAGGTGAGAAATTGGCTTGAAAGGTGCATTTTGACTCTTTTTTCAGAAAATTAAACTTATAACTCATTTTAAGATCAAAGTGATGATTAGTTGAAATGAAACGTACCTATGGTTTCAAGCACTGAAACGGAATCTATTATGGTCTCATAAAATTAAATTTTCGAAAAGAGAGAACAACGAACAGCAATTTTGTAACTATTTCACGTCTCAATGATTCTGCTTTGTTTTTTGTTTGCGCTAATTCGTTGGAATTCACGTATTCTTCAGACGATCGTATTTTCAAATAATAACAATTTTTCCTATTTCCAATAGGAAAACAAATCACGTTATTTTAGTTTAGTTCTCAATTACTAGCTTTGCCACAAGCCGTATTTTTTGAGCTGCAATAATTCCAAATATGTACAAAGTAATTTTTCCCGTTGTCGTTATACAGAGTATCCAGAACTAGGGGGTAAAAGCTTTAGAGGATAAAATAATTATTGTTTTGGCAAATCTCAGTTCTTTTTCAATTAATTGATTAAGAATTCCTTAATTTTGTTGATGAAATTTAGCTAGGAATCGAATGCTCAATATATTTTTTTTTTCGAAAATGTATACATTTATGAATTATCCTTCTCATGTACATTGGCGCACCGGAATTAGCCTGGCTGTTACGTTCAATTTCTGCCTATAGCTTTGATTGTTTTCGAGTTAATACACACAAGGTTTTGCCGAATCATTCCGGAAGCCCTAACTGAAACAACCAATTACAGATAGACAATGAAGCATTTTGCCGTTAAATATATATTATTATACATATCTATCCAAGTTAGTTGCTTCCATCGAAGGTTGTGTAATTTGCCATCGTTTTTGAAAGTATAAATAAATCCATAACAAAAGTCTGTTTGTCCGTTATCAATGATTTTTTATCATTAATTTCTGTATACTCTGTATCTAAGGACTTACTTTTAGCTGGAATTTTTAACTATAAAACTATGATATTGTCAAGTTAAGCACATGTGACTCTAATTTCAAATCACTTTGTAAATCGAGCTCAATTTAAAGAAAATGTATTTGTTTCATTAACAATTGGAGGTCATTTTTATTGTCTAATAGGTTGCTCTATCTGACTATGTGGACCCTAATTGACTCAACTTGGCTTAGTGTGTTAGGGAACTTTGCCCATATTTCCACAAACCAACAACACGAGATAAGCTCCAGAAAAAATGTCAATTACGTTAAAATTAATGGGATCAAACCAAGATCAAGTAAATCGATCAAGTCATAAAGATAGTGTTATTTGGGATGATTATGAAACGGTTACTCGTTGTTATTATTTAAATTATTTCGAAAACATCTAATGTAAATAAATTTGGGATTTATCTCGTAGATTCTGGATGATTTGAAGCAACGATTGGAAAATGCCATTCCACTGCAGCCTCCTTTGGAGGGCGTAAAACAAACTTATGGCATGAACGGCAATTTGCTCCAGAAGGTGGTGGATTATTGGAAAAATAACTACAACTGGTAGGAGTTTTGTTAAAAAAAGTCAACAAGTTTTATTGCATTTTGAACCACTTGAAGAAAATTGATTTCCAATAATATTTTAGGACGGAGAGACAGAACTTCCTAAACCAGTACCCACATTTCACCACCAGCGTTCAAGGCTTGAAAATACATTTCATTCGTGTTAAACCCCAGATAAGCAAAAACTCAGACATTAGAGTGGTGCCCTTATTGCTTGTCCACGGATGGCCGGGATCAGTTCGGGAATTTTATGAAATAATCCCCATATTGAGCAAACCTCAAAAAGGTATACACAGGGATAAAATGGATCCATTTCCACAAGCATAAAATGGAAATTTTTCAGGAAGAAAAGTGGTATTCGACTTGATTATCCCAAGTTTGCCCGGTTATGGATTCTCAGAAGCTACAAGCAAACCAGGCTTAGGACCCGAACGAATCGCGCAAATTTTCAAAAATCTCATGAAGAGATTGGGATATGATAAATTTTATGTTCAGGTACATTCAGCAATCCAGAATAAATCAACTGAATAGAATATTTCAAACAGTGGCTTCATTTTAGGGAGGAGATTGGGGATCGGTCATCACTTCGCACATGTCGGTTGTTTATCCAGAAAATGTGCTGGGTCTTCATTTAAATATGTGCGCTTGCATATCGAAATGGTGCAGTCTTAAAATAGCGCTTATAGGTACTTGGTTGTCCCTATTTTTCAAGTGCAAACAGATAATTATAGCGTTCGCTCTTTCAGTTTTTGAATTGAAAAACTCCGAAAACTAGTTTCAATTATCTAGATATCTTTTCACAACAAAAATGATTAGTAAAATGTACTATTTCCGAACATGTGATTATAAGCCCTAAATTTTAGGAGCTACATTCCCATCTCTGCTCGCCACTGAAGAAGAACTACCATTATTCGCTCCAGTTTCCGAAAAATCAGCCGAAGTTTTGCTTTTGGAAATGGGATACGCACATATTCAGTCCACTAAACCGGACACAGTTGGTTAGTTGATTATTTAGTTGATTTATTCCAAACTTATCATCCAAGCCTGTCTATTCTTGCCTCTTATCTAAAGCTCTCTCATGCCTTTCAGGCGTTGCTTTAAGAGACAGTCCCGTCGGACTCGCTGCCTACATTCTGGAAAAGTTCACCACATGGACGAACAGAGAATGGAAAAACTTGGAAGATGGAGGGCTGACTAGAAAATTCACTCTAGATCAATTGCTGGATAATGTGATGATCTACTGGGTAACTCGATCTATTACCACATCCCAAAGGCTTTACTCAGAAACGTTCAATAAGAAAATGGCTGTTTTTGGATTGGACGAGTGAGTTTCACCTCAAAACTTTTCACGCCAATATTATTATTTTCACCCTTTTTTTCTAGTATTCCTTCCAAAGTGCCGACTGCATGTGCCAGATTCGCTAATGAAATCCTTACTCATCCAGAGTCGCTAATAAGGCTGAAATACCCAAATTTAGTGCAATCTAAAATCTATCCAGATGGTGGGCATTTCGCTGCTTTCGAGCTTCCAGAGGTGTTGGCTGAAGATGTGTATAATTTTGTGGAGAAAATTTTGTAAATGTTAAATAAGTTTCAGTTTAAATTAAATATGTTCTTGTTACCCGTTTAAGGCGTTTTACAAAACACATAAAGTCCTGATAGGTTTAAGATTCCAGAACAAATCAAAATAAATGCAATTTCATTTTTGATTCCTGCAAGGTGTTTTTGGTTTTTAACGTTTTGAAAATCATTTGAAGCTTTTCCACATTGTTTACATCAATCGCAAGACAAAATGCAGAAGAATATAAAAACTTGTTTTAAACACTAAAATTTGATGGAAGAACTGAAGCCGAAATAATAAATTTAAAAAGCAAAAGTCAAAAGTTTTTTGTTTTTTTGCATTTCAGTGAACTAAATTAAATTGAAGCAATATAGTATTAACAGAATAAGAGTACATTTTACTTAAAGAAAATGTTTATATGGCTTGCGAACGAAAATTAAGGTGTAAGAGCAGGAATAAATTTTCATTAAAAAATCTGAAATTGAAATCCAATATTTATTCGAAGATAACGCAAAAAATATCTGGTAAAACAATTTCAGATTTTGCCCTGTTCGAATGTTTTAAAAACCCGAGACAAAATAAGAAAATTAAAATCAAATTCCGTTGATTTCATATCACTGAAAACAAAAGCCAATTTAAAGCCACTGGCACAACAAAGCAAGCTAACAGCTAGAGGTAATATCGACACAAAAACATTTAGGAAATTATTAAAAAGCGAAAAAACAAATCATTTTGAATATCATCCACAGTGAACTCAACAGGACTGACTTGTAGAGGCACATAATAATATGTAAATTTCCTCAACTGCTTTGTAAGGAAATTATTAATTTTAAGGTAACTTAGTCAGTTTTTAATCATTATTAAGAGTAAATTGGTTTTATATACTTCACACAGAGCAAACTTAACAATTTTAAAGTAAATAGAGAGCTGAAGTTTAAGTTTAAAGCTTTTGAGAGATTTTTAATGAGATGTTGTGTTTTTCTCAAACGTGATCTCATCGCCTATTATTATTATTGTTATTCATATTTTTAAAGTTTATCTTGTTCATTGTGAAGTGCACTGACGTAGCGACTTTCAGATAAACCTTTGAAGGAGCTACTTAGAAACGTATGATAAACTAGCATATTTCACTACTTTATTAGATGCCAATGTGAAGTGAAAACTGTAAGGCATTTAATTAGCAAATTACTTTTTTAGTTTACAAAAAATGTTGAATATAATAAATTTGCTTATTTCGGCATTTTTTGTCCAAATTTCAGTAAGTATTCGAACTTGCAGTATTATATAAATTTAAATTCATTAATTAGCAGCTGTTTCTAGCTGTAGAATATATGCATTAACAATAAAATTTTTAAAATACATTATAATTTTAGTATTATTGTTATATACCTATTAACTGACTGAGAGCTCGCAATTTATGGGATTAATATTACTTTTGCAAGAAACTGATATCATATGAATAGAAAAACAAGGTTTAATTTTGTTTTAGACAAAAATTAATTATCTAATTCTAAAGGAGGTGTTTATGTAATTTTTATATACAAAATTTGTGTTAAATAAAATTGTTTACTAAAAATTACCTATGGTTCTTGTCTAAAGCTGTTTTCAAAATCCGAAAAGATTTAAAAAACAGAGCGTTTGATGCTTTTACTATCTGAAACGCGCAACTATGAATAAATGAATTTGATGCCTCCAATAAAAAAACCCTCTACAGTGTCCCCAGATCTGCATTAATTTTATTTACCAGACTACAAATTTACGGCAAATTTTCCACTTTTCTTACTTTTACATAGCGAGGACAGCTGCTCGTTACCCTGCCACAAGGCCAAATACTTGGACACGAGCTTCAAACCTTCACGAGTAGGCCTTACTACGCTTACCAATCCATACCATATGCTGCAGCGCCAGTAGGCGAACTGAGGTTTCAGGTGCACCTAATAAAACAAGCAATAACTCTTCACTAACCTACCGAAGATTCGCATTTTCAGGCTCCTGAAGAACCGGAAAGCTGGACAGGCGTTTTAGATGCAACAGAGGACAGTCACATGTGCTATCAGATGCAATACGATGGTCCAGAGGAGAGTGAGGATTGCTTGTACATCAATGTATTTACTCCTGTTTTAAATAGAGTAAGTTCAGAAACAAGAAACCAAATTTCTGTTAAAACAGAAAGTTGCAATCCAGGAAAACGATGACACAAAGTTGCCAGTTATTTTTTGGATCTATGGTGGCGGACTTCGCAATGGGGCTGCAAGATTTCAAGATTATCGGCCTGATTACTGGATGGATGAAGATGTAATTCTGGTTACACATAATTACAGAGTGGGAATGTTTGGGTTCCTGTCTACAGGCGACAGTATCATACCAGGTACAAACTATTCTAGAAAAATGTGTTGAATAACACTAAAAATGTGCCGCATTCCAGGTAATAATGGACTCAAAGACCAAAACTTAGCCCTGAAATGGACATACGAAAATATTCATCTATTTGGAGGCGATAAGGATAAAATAACTGTCCATGGGCAAAGCGCTGGAGCAGTTTCGGCCAGTTATCACCTTCTTATTAAGCAATCCGCTGGTAAGTCAAGCTGGAAAATGATCCATAACGAATGCCCGTTAATGTTATTTTTTAGGGTTATTTCGGTCGGTGATTGCAGAAAGTGGCTCCCCGCTTAACATGTACTCATTCATAGAAAATCCGAAAGATTACGCAATCCAACTGGCCCAGGCGATAAATCCAGATATTTCCTCCGATGCCGACAGCGAAGAAATACGAGACTTTTTACTCAGTTTGGATGGGAAGACCATAGATAACTACTCAAAAGCGACTGCAATTGTAAGCTTTTATCCAAAAGGTGAAAAATGTGCGAAACATTTCGTCTGGAAAAAAAATCTTCAATTCATTAGAATAAACATGCCCCAAAATATATGACTTTGAACGGAGACTAATTACCTAATTCGAAAACTTGTCAACTTTAAGTAAAATCTTCAAAGTACTTAGACGAAAATAGTTTCATCACTAAGTGGCCTATTCTAATTAACAACATCTATGTGATACTCTACAGACAATAATTTCTTCTAGGCTCAGCCAGCGGCTGTAATTGAGCCGGAAAGTCCTACAGCTGTAGTAACCACAGAAATGTACGAAATGTTTGAGTCTGGCGACTTCTACCAAGTGCCAGTTCTGATGGGAATCTGCTCAGAAGAAGCTCTCTTCATTGCTACATGTGCGGATTTTCCCAATCAGTATAATTTTTACTTTTACTTGCTTTTATAGCGGAAAACTACCCCATAAGATTAGGACGCACTTATGATGCAAATGAAGCCTTAGTGGTGCCTGATATATTCCCGCATGATGAAGACATCGACACGGCTGTTATAGGAGAGGCAGTAAAGCTGGTTTACTTAAATGAGGAGGATCCTTGGGCAGAACACCCGGGACGGGTTGTAAGAGTGAGTTTCTAAATTTTCCAACTAAATAGCACCCTCTCAGTAACATTGTAGCATTTTAGTGACCAGAGATTCGCCAGAGCGATTATCAAGCAAGGAAAACTGATTTCACAGTACGCTCCGGTTTATTTCTACCAGTTTTCTTATGATGGAGACGTAGGCGGATGGAATACTGTGGTAGAAGGTACTTTTTCGTCAACATTTTTGAAATTGAAAAAATGTTTTCAATTATATAAAGCATCATTAGTTTCATCCATTTCTTGGGGTTTCAGACGCAGAAAAAATTCAACATGCAGAGGAGCTATACTACGTGTTTTTGAATAGGAGCTTGAGCGAAATCGATGAAGGTGATGCTCTCACTCATAGGAGACTTGTTAGACTGTGGTCCAATTTCATCAAATACGAGTAAGTATCTTCTGAAGAAAAAAACTTTGTCAGGACTCTTTGTTGAATATGATCCAGTAAATTTTTTTGGTTCTTCTACAATGGAGTTATTAATCTATTTAATTCGAAGATCCAGCACGTTTCCAATGGGTTTTTGCTTCGTGTTGAGCCAGAGAGGCAGACATGTTTTTTTAACTGTTTTCAGGTTGTTCACTTGTTGTTGTTGTCATTGGTATTTACGCAAAAATCAAGTTTTTATAAAGCGGAAATGCAGATCTGCGCTTGTGAACAAAAGCATCATTTTTCAACTTGGTTGAAATGTTTGCTTCAAGAGTTATGCAGTTGATAATTTTGACTGCGAAAAAATAGTACTTTATATTTATCTTCCTCACAACTTCTTCATAAACTTTTGCATTATATATATTTATATGTAACCACATACATTTTTCCCAGAAATCCAACCCCAGAGCCTGACGAACTTTTGGAAAACATCGAGTGGCCAGCCGTTTCTCCTCTGGATTATAAATATTTGAACATCAACAATTCGTTGAGCATTGAGCTGAACCCAAAAGACCCGTACTTTTCCAAATGGGAAAATGTTTTTGAAACGTACGGTCGTCGACCATTTTCCACATTCTAGAACAGGATGACGATTGAATACATATTTTGCAACCGCGTTTAATAAACCAAAGTGTTTTATTCCAAAAAAATCAAGTGTTCTAACCTTCGCAAGTGAAAGTGATTGTGTAACAAGATTTTTCATTAACTTTATTGAGAACTTATTTTTAGGCAGTGCAAGTCTTTTGATTGTAGTGCATTTTTCTGGTGACTTCGATTCTTGATGCTCTTCTTTCTTATGTTTGAAATAACGAATTCTTCTCATTAACAATTTGTTTTCATTCATTCTCTCACTTGAGAGACAAATAAAACGCGTCCTTTTTAAAACATCCCGCTACACTTTGTCGCATTAAACTCCTCAATTTCGCAAAAATTTAACGGTTCCATCAGAAGCTTGTGAAACTTCGTATCTTCAATACAAATCATCCGCTTCTTACACCTCAGCTACTCATATCAAAGTCTCCGAGTTTGGATCTTCGCAGCTTCTTGAGCTTCTCCATTAGAGCAATGTTGGTGGTTAGGCTTTTCTCCAAAGCATCAAACAGCAAATTTTCCTGGAAAAATGCAGGAAACGGCATGTCTTCCAACGCAAACACATGCACATTGCCATCAATATCGCCCACTATCAAACACCTTCCACTTTCTATGAACTGGACTATGGTATTCCTGGAACCAGTAGGTGACTGAGTCTCTGACTGGGGCTTCCAGACTTTTCTCTGAAAGTCCCAGAGCAAAATGGTTTTTCCATAGATAGAAGCCAAAATGGTGGAATGAGTCGGGCTCCAATCCATTGCTTGGACCGACATCATGGTGACAAACAACTCATGCAAAGGCTCGGATATACCTAAAAGAATCCATAAGGAATATGAAGTGAGTGGTTTGGGTGGTACCTTCAGCCCAGATGCGCAGGTGCCAATCATCCCCACAAGTAGCATAAATCTGCTGGCTGAAGGGGGAGTATTTCAAGTCGTTGATTGGACCATCATGTGCCAAGAACAAGTCCAGGTGCTGGTTCAGATAGTTGGTGGAACATTTATGCACCACGCCCTCATTGGTTCCAACTAAATAAACGTTCGCATCATCGGGGTGCCAGCGAATGAATCGGGCACCTGCATACCGAGACACAGGAATGGTCAAATTCGAACATTTTTTCATTGAATTGTACCCTTTGAGTTTGCCATCGGCTTTCGATACTCTCATCATTTGTTGAGCCTGAAAATAGTAAGTAATCGAAGTGGAATAGTGAAAAACACGTAAAAGAATTCTAGCATAAAAGTACTAATTATATTCAAAGTTGAGCGGCTGCCTGTTGAAAGCATGTTTTAGCAGAAACTTATCGAAATGGGAGTTTCCAATTTTTCTGGAACGTTTGAAACGATTCATACAGATATCTAAAAAACACACTTGGGCGTTTTTAGATAAGCATGATTCGCATGAATCAAGCTGAATAAATAAGTGTATTGATCATATATGCTAATTGTAGTGGTTCACTATAGTGGTTAGGGAATTTCACTTAAAACTTGTTTGAAGTTCATGTTCAAATAAAAAAATTATTAAGTTCAAGTCGAAAATTTCCAGGTCGAGGACGAAAAGTTCCAGAAAAGAATTCGAACTGTTTTCGAGTGGTTTATTTTCTTGCGAACATTCAAATTTTTGATCAAATTAAAAAGAGAATCCAGTAGGCAACAAATAATAAAAAAAAATAGTGTTGAAAACGAGAATTTGCAACTTAAATCTTGATGATTTTATGTAGGCAGGACAATAAGCGATAAAATTGCGAAACCGAATTCTTACTCTCAGTTACCAGAAAAATTATCCAAAATTTGTTGGCAAATTATTTTAAAAAATTTACAACTTTAATAGACATTTTTGAATTAACGCGATATAATGAGCAAATGAAGCAACAAAATGTTGGTTTACTTTTCCGGCAATTAAATTTTTTTTATTTATGTTGGAAATTTGAGAATCTAATTTGCTAAATTAAATTTTTTCAATTTTTTGAAATATTTACGTCATAATTTCGAATAAAAACCTCAATTTTTGGAATCCACTTAAACCAAAATTTTGCAATTTTTGTCGGGAAATTAGGAGTCAAATTTGTTTGAAGGTTTTATTCAAATTAATAATCATGAAATTTTGCAATGAACGCAATATAATGAGCGAATTAAACGACAAAATTTGTGATTTTTTTGCAGCCAATTAGAATAAAAAATGTTCTTCGATTTTTCGCTGCTACTCCCATAATGGTTAATAAAAAACGTCGGGTTTGAAATCCAAAAGTTCAGGGTTGAGGTAAGAATTTTGTGACTTAAATTTTGATAGTTTTACTTTTAAAATTTTTTTAAAAATTTGCAACTTTAATAGAAATTTTGAAATGAACGCAATATAATGATCAAATTAAACAACAAGTTTTTGGGTTTTTGCTGGCAATTAGAATACAAAATTTTATTGGATTTTTTGCTGCTTGTCCCATAATGGCCAATAAAAAAGTCAGGTTTGAAATCCAAAATTTCAGGGTTGAGGTAAGCATTTTGTGACTTGAACAAAATCTTTTATTGAGTGGTGATGAGAAATTCCTTCGAAATTAAGAGCCTGCTTTCACTTCAGTTGCCACTCCATTCGTCAAAGAAAACAGAGTTAAATAATAAACTTAATTTAGTAGCAAAGAAGAAGAAATATCGTTCTTAAATATTCATAGGGTCAAGAAACCCCAGATTCAAATATTTAACTGAAGATTGCTGGTCTTTAATGCGATTATTTAATTAAAAGCGCCATAAACCTAAAAAACACGACAAAGTGTGGATGATCCGCAAGAACAACCATCCTAAATCTTAAAAAACAAATGGCAAACCTGCAAATCCTTGGTATTTTCTATTGTGTAAAATATAACCCGGCCATCATCAAAAGACGCGCAAATTTGTTCAGTTTCCTTTGTTTGGTCGATATTGGGCCTCCAGACGACACTCCAAACGGCATCAAATCCAGGCACATTTTCTCCGATCAGGTTTATATCTCGGCTTGTAATATTTAGGACCAGAACATGCCCGTTGTAGAACCCGATTGCTAATAAATTGGGATCCTGCAAAAAACAAAATTTTTCAATTTGCGAACAGATTGTCCCCAAACAGGAACGTTGCATATTGAGTTTCATTACCATTTGAATTGAGCGCAATGAAATAAAATGGCCAGCAATCAATGTTTATTGATGAAAGTTTCGTAAAATGAAAAAACTTTTGGCTTTACTGTGAACTTTAAAGTTTCACAGAAAATAGGTAAAGTTCTAGTGCGTTTGCAAATGTTACTTTTTTGTGCGTTCCTTTCTTAAGGGACATTCTGGATATTTTATGTGTTTTCCAATGGAAAACGCCCAAACTATTAAATGTGCAGTCAAGAAAAAACTTACTTTGGTGGAAAAGCTCAACGTAGTTACAGGATTTAAAAAATTATAAACTCTTTCAGGTTGAACGGGATTTTTTATGTTCCATATCATGACCATGCCAGTGCTGGTTTCAGCAAAATAAAATTTACCGTATCCAACAGCTATCAGGTCTTGGTTAGTTGGATTCCATTCGAATGATGTGACACAACGACCTAGTAGAAGGATCAAATTAAACAAAACTAAATAAACTAATTAAAAAAAATTACAGACGATATTAGCAAATTGTATTTGATCTGAACCTCAATGTAAAGTCATTGGAATAAATCCGACTGAAACTCATTACCTTTAGTGGCATTATTTGCAAACGTCCATAACAGATTCAAGTTATACTTGTACTGGATATCATCTCGGAAAATGTCTGGATCGGACAAACCCCTAAATCGCTTTTGCTCTTCATTGAAACAGTTGTTTGCCAATAGGCGCTCCACCACACAAACGGCTTCTTGAAATCTGGGATTTTTCATTAGTTTGCATAATTGCTTTTCGTCTGATGCCATTTTATAGCTCTCGAGCGAGGATTCGGACAATAAGGTATCGACATCGCTAAAACGATTAGGATTAGAACAAATGTAATTGAGTTTAATTGGAAGACGTAAACAAAGAAACTCAAGCGATGATGATGAAATAAATCTCCGTTAATGTTTGTTTGAAAATACTACACAAAAGAATCTCAGAAGAAATGAGCTCAACATCAACAATTATTGTGTAATATTTCCGGCCGCACGTGAAATCCTGATCGTTTCCAAACCCAGTAAGCGTCAAATTCCATTTTAGTATTACCTGTCTTCTGAACTAGAGGACAACTCAACTTTGGACTCCTCCTTAGCTGCCGTATCGTAAGTATCAAACATTTCCCAATTAGAAGCAAAAGTGTTCCTGTTGCAATGCTCCATGGGTTCGGCTTCAGTGTTTCTGGACTTTTTCAATATCCGGACTGTTTGAGCTTCCGCATTCACCACTTTTCTGTTCCTGCCCTTACCCACAGTCAGGTACTCATATTCCTGATTCTTCAGCTCAGCTGCATCTCCTTTAAATAATGTTTTAGTCATATTTTAGCACCGGATGCCCTGCTTTAAATAGACACAAGTTTAGAGAGAAAAAAAGCGTTGGTATACAGTTTGAAATAAGCTTCATTCTTTTTAAAATCAGCAACTAAGAAGTAGTTGATGGTAAGGTAGATGTAGCAAGTAAAAGTACCTTCTTCGGTGTCTTTCAAAGCAACGCAGCTCGGTATGTCCAGGATGAAAGTGGTTTCAGTTTCGCTCAAAACCAAACTTATATGAGTGGGAGCTTTCATTTTCTGGCCGGTTATGGAGTCAAAGGATGAGCCGACCACTACTTCTGATGATTCCAGTCGCGCTGCTTCTGTATCGAGTTCAGTTAGAAGATCCCGCACTACCACTGGCTCAAATAAATCAATGGAATCTTTAACAAAAATGAACATATAAGTGCGCTTATCCAATAGTTTGCTTGATTAATGTTGTCGTGGAAACTCGCGCCTAATGGAAAACGGGGTGGATATTTCAGAATAAGGCAGCAAATATATATTGAGTGTTTGCGGTTAAAAAATTTATAAGTGGTTTGCATCCTCAGAAATCGAAGTTAATTGCCAAATAATAACATATAAAGATATCGCAGATTTTCTTCTTCAAATCTGTCCATGGTTGTTGAGCTGCCTGGCTAGCACGGGCTCCAGATTTTACACCGCTCGACCCGCAGAGTTACCTTACTTCATCAGCACCTGCCCATCAGTACCTGCACTCGATTACATTTTCATTTAAAAAAAGTTGGTAGATAACAAATTAAGTACAAATAAAAATCAAACCTACGTCATCCTGTCTCATCTGTATCATTAGAACATTTCCAAATCACCTCAACCACTCCATTTTCACACCAAATAAAAAGGATTCTTACCACCACGAAAATAGCTTCCAACAGTAGTGTTTTCTGCCATCTCAGTTCTAAATCGAAGAGTCGATCTGGGAGCGTCGAACGTATTTCCCATGGTTGAACCGCTATCCCCCCAAGACAACGTCGAAAGCTCCTCGTAAGTCCCAAGTTGTCGTTCTTTAGCCAAATGGTACAGTTCGGGATTCAACGGTTTGGGAGTCATGTTTTTCCCATCATAATACACTGTGAAGGCCATCGATTTGCCTCTGAGGATGGTTTTCGGTTTTCCTGGAGTCAGAGAAGACGTGGGTCTCTTGACCAAAGTAAGCTGGAATGTATCTCCCGCTTCCGCCATCGTGCAGTAGAAACTGAAGCTGTTTGGAGCAAATTTGCAGCAGTTTATAACTAATGACACTTAAATTACAATAAGTGCAGGCAGGTTTTTTAATGTCAGAGAACAAGAGTTGAAAGGTTAATTATCCAAGGAAACCTGAGCTATGCAAACATGCATTTTGTATTTTTGTTAATGGAACAATCGGTATTTAGCAGATCGGCTAATAGATTGTTCGCTCCACCTTCCATCTTCCTCTCGAAAGGGGCTACAAAAGCATTTTTTAAAAGTTGGTTTTGTTGAAAACTTTTTTGAAAACAAATTGATTTCTCGCAAAAAAGCCTTAAGCAAAATTGTATACTAAATATTTATTTAAATGTAACATTGGAAAATTTTGTGGTCTCTCACTAAGAAGATTTTAAGTTCACGATTACGCTTTTTATTGGGGCACATCCAAATTTTCACTCCATTGCCAGATTTTTAATTAGATTTTATACAATTTCTCCGTTTAAAACCAAAGAAACATTTCTAGAGCTTCCGAAGTATTTCGTTTTTTGACAAAGCATTCATTTGATTTGCAGATTTGATACGTTCTTTCACCCGACCGGTTTCGTCTCAGGAACTTTGAAAAAAAGAACACAAAAATATCAACTATAATTTATTTGTACAGTATTTGGACAGTATGGAAATCGTTTCCACTAATTTCCTTCGGGGTTGCCCAACCAAGGGTAACTCTTCGGGCAGGGGACGCATGAAACCATCAGTCGATTCTGTCCTTCGAGGTTTTCCAAATTACAACTCGCTTTCACACAGCCCAAATCAACCTCAACTGCGGATGTTCGGAATTCGGATAATGGAACAGGATTCTTAATCCATTCAATGACCTGGAAAGCGAAAATTTCACACCATACTTCCTCGAGTTGTAAAATACTCACTCTGGCTTGCGAGACCAAAAACACATCATTGGCTTCCTGAATTCGATCGAGCCCATCGTTTAAGCCCTCCCAAGAGTTTTCCACACTAGTGAACAAATTTTCCTCGATGATCAAAGTGAGTGGTGCCTTGTTTGCTGCTTTCACTGTTTCAACTTGCTCGACAATCCAGTCGGAAATTTCCTGCGGAGTTTGGCTGCAAAAAAATATCGAATAGTTATCAGCTCCGAAATCTGCTTACCGCTCTTACTCATTTCTGCTACGGAAGCATCCAGCAAGAGTGTTGCAGACGTCACCATCTTCACTGATCAAATCGACAATAGGAGCGACCCAAAAGCCTTTGTAAGCTTCAGTAGGGCATGTGGCCCCAATGTCGCAGTCTTGCGTAGACGCATAATCCAAAGTATAAGGAAAGTAGCGCAGCTTGGATGGCCAGGAATTGTCGTAGGTGAAACCTTGGGCTGTGAAAGCCTTCAGCGAATTGTCACCAGCAAGCTGAAGCTGGGGAGTGATTGTACCCACAATGTACTCTTCAGGAATATTGGCGAACTTGGAGATAATTTCTCGTTGATTGCCAAACTCCCTCTCCAGTAGCTCTTGGTCAGCGTTTCTCCAGTAGGACTGGTTAACATTGTTGCTAAAATCTAGCAATGCTTCACGTGTTGCTGATAACGACTAGCAAATGAAAGACTTACGAAACGGAATGGACCCCAATCTCAAACCCATAGGAGGCAAGATCGTGAACGATTTGGTAGTTGCTGTACTCGTGATTGATGTAGAAAGTAGCTGAAACATACTCTCCGTCTGGATTGGTTCGGGGCTCTACCAGAGGAGACCATCTGTTCTTGTAGATATCATCGGTGGCGGCATCGGTGAAAGCCAGCACAATGAGCTAAAACAATTAATGTTTCTCTTAATTGATGTGAGGCGTGAGACAAAAAGTGGCATATAATGTTGAGAGTTATTAGAATAAGAAAGTTGCCTATGTATGTTTCTGTGGTTCAACAACTCAGGATGCAAATGCAGTTTGAAGAACGTTGTGAGTATGGTTTATCTGAAATTGGAAATCCATTGTGCAATTGATGACTATTTTGTGACCCTCATATGGATGAGAACAGCACGTAGCAACATTTCTAGTGCTTGATGTTGACCTCGTTTCGAGAGCCAGTTTAAAGGGTTTTACATATCAAGTGAGGAGACAGACAAGTCACTTGTAGGAAACCAATAAATATCAGGTTTTCATCAGCAAGATGCATTTGAGGAAAACTTCAAAAATGTTCATTCGCCTAACAAAGAATATCAGCGAAAGGCTATGAACTGAATTTTGTACCTGAGGAGTTTCTTCTAGACCAAGAGGTCCGCTTGTTGTGGAACAGCGACAATTCTCAGCAATATCACATTTGGAACTGTCACAGGGTTCTGCAACAGCTTGAACTTGATGCAGACACACAGCTAGCAGAAGAGGCAAACCAATGAGAAATTTCATTTTAAATGCTTTGAACGCTTGAATTTTACAGTGAAGCACTACCTAGATACTGATGGGACTTTCTCGGTTTATCTGTTTATATCAAGAGGCTCGATACTGAAAAGTTTAATCAATAAGATATGTCAGATTGCTTTTTCGTTTGATGGCTTTCTGATAATCCAGGAACAATCGAGCATACTTAGAGATAGGATTTTTTTAATGATCACTTCCTGATTTGAGGCAAATGTTAAACTACAGCAGTACTTGAACAGCACGGTTAGACGTTGGTACTGTGWTGTGACGTCAATGGATGTTTATCGRTTCGGTTGGGTTTTCCAGGTTTACATGAAAAAATTCCGACCCTTCAACGTAAAACCCATATTGAAGTGAACTTTGAATTTAATYTTTTTCACACCGGTATAAATAYCTGACAATATATTTGAATAATAATCAATCATTTAGTAAGAGTTTCTGTTGCTTGAAAGCTGGTAGCATTTTGTCTAACTGTCTCGTTTGGGTAATWGCGATTAGTTTGCAGCTTAATATCAGATTTCGGGATTTTCCAACCTTGATTTGATGAAGTTTTTAGTAAATTCAGCAAATGCATAATTCTGGGGTTTTTAGACTCACTTGTGTACCGAAGATTTCCGAAGCAAACATTAAAGTGATTTGAACCATCGCATCCAGAATTGATGATGAATGATTGAAAACTAGATCAAGTTAATATGACCAAAGACAATAATCGCATTTCAGTATTAATATTTTTGATATTCGTTTTGCCTAAAAAATAAATCATAACTGGACCCATGAATCCATCTTGAAATGCCGAATCATCGACAGAACATTATATTTTCCTTATCGAAATAATCAACTGTAGTAAAACAATGCGCAATTTCTTGTTATATTCCTTTGTAAAAATGAACTGTGAAATAAAAGTCTTCCTTTGGCCTGCATTGTTGCTTTGGGCATAAAACGTGCAATAACTCTGCCTAACGCACAATGCTGAAGGATAATGAAGTACTTTCCCTCAAGCGCAAATTACAAGAATATTCACTTAAAAACTCATGTTTGGTGGCGGTAAAATCAGATTACTTTATAGCAAAGAGGTAGTTATTCAACTTTGGGCCATGGCAGTTGTTTATGCATGTTTGATGTTTGCAGTTCAAAGAAAGTGAATTTTCCATCCAAATGGTAAGCGGAAAAAATCGTGCTTTAAATGTTGACTGATTTTTTAAATAGTTTTTCTTGTTGCTGATGTTGGTTGTAAAATCGCCGTCAGTTGAAAGCAACTATGTTGAAACGAACCCTGCACTATCCAAAAGGTATTTACCTGGTGACCAAACAGCATCTTCAGGACATACAGAAGGTTTTCATTATTATCACAGTTCAGCTCCAGGTAATTTATGGATATTCAGCATATTCAGGGAGTCTTGTATTATTCATAGATATAATTTAATTGCTGAGTAAAATTTTTAAGCTCCTCTCGGTTTGTCATCGCCCTCGCCAACAATTCCGCATTCAGTTGCAAATCAACCTCTACTTTCGGGAAATGACTTACTCGCCGCCCTTTTTTTAAGTGCAGTCTTACGACTTCCAAGGGCAAAGTCAGATGTAAGTATAGCAAAGCCAAGGGAATTAGAAAATTAATACTGTTTGCAAATCGACCATGGTGCAACTTTCCGCTATCAAATGCGTGTAAAAATGTAAAAACTCCAACGCAATTTGGTGTTTTCAGGTCGGAAATCATCCAGAAGAAGTTTCCGTTAATCCTTACATAACTTTGTTACTCTCACAATATGGACGCTATTTGCCCATTCACGCTTTGGGCACAAAAGGACTTTACCACTATGCAGCTGCAAATAATTACCACAATAATAAACCGTTTGGGTCATACAAGGTTTATGAAGATGCCAGATAAGAACAATTAGTTGAATAAAAACAACGATATTTTAAAGCAAATAAAAATGTTCAAGCAATTTTCCAGCAGTTTATTTTATTTATTCCCAGCAATTTTATTTTTAAAATAGAGAAAAATGCGCTAATAGGAGCCACTCGGACACCTTAAAATGTATTTTACAAAGTCGAACAGAATCCATAAAAGATACATCAAGTTAAATACCAATTCTTCATGAAGGTGATTCTGGTTTTCTTGTGATTAGTTTTTTTGTAAGTTAAAGGGAGTAACGCAGATTAGAGCGAACATTAACGGAATAACGAAAATAAGAATCTCAATTGCTCGTGCATATTTTTCGCGTATTGCCAGTTAATAAAACTATTTCTTGGAAAAAATAAGTGTATTATTTATTGCAAAATGTAATTTTAGTTCTTGAGTGTCAGGAATTGAACGTAAAACTTTGGTCATTTATTATGAGGATCATTTAGCAAGCCCGCCAAAGGTGGAACTAAAGCGACAAATAAAATATTTGAAAAATAGTTGATTCGAATTCAATTTGAGTGCTTTATAACTTATGAAATTTCGGCGATCCATTTTCAAACACTTTTTTTTTTAAATGCCAGTTAAATCAAAGACCATTCAATTATTTCCCTGACAATATCAATAAATTATTGTCACTTTTGACTACCATCGAATAATGTTTGAAAATTGCAAATCAAATTGAGTATTTTGCAAGCAAATGCAGAATTACTGGTGGTGCGCAATATTGTTTCGCATTATCTTGCCATGCCTCATTATCGCGTAAGCGCAAGTTGTACAAGACTAAAATCACATGTAACAAGTCGAAATAATTGAGGATTTTGGAGATTCCCAAAAGTTGTACGGTACACGTAGTTCAAATGCGGTTTCCATAACTAAATAAGAAAAAATGATATCAAAAGATAAGCTCTATACAGGGTGTCCCACCGGGAAACGCCGCGATCGATATCTGACAAACTGTACTTAGGAGAAATTTGAAAATTGGACAGTGAACCGAAGTCATTGGGGGCAAGCGATCTAAAATATTTTCAAGATGGCCACCCTTCCGATTATACCGGAAGTGCGTGTCAACTTGCTTATTTTAAATGGAAAACCCTATATATTATTAGATTTTTGAATTCCATTCCAAATTCTAAATGTATTTAATACATAATATCCTATACCTAAGTCTAACCGTTTTTGAGATGGAATTTAGAATTTTATGTAAAAAATGACAGTTGCAGCCACTCGAATAATTATTAATTTCTCCTATAAGGGAATTTGTCATACTTAATTTGAGTCTCATTTATTGTTGAAAACATTTTGAAAACTATTAATACAGTGTTAAAAAAATAAATTTTAATATACAGCTGAGAAAACCGCCCAAAATCAATATTTTCAAATGAAAACCCCCCATTTTTGATAATTTTGTCATATTCAGTATTAAAAATAAGTGTAAGTTTTTGTAACGATGTTTATTCCAAAACTGTTTAGTTTTCGAAATATTGCCAATTTAATGTTTTCATATGGCTATTTTGCAGCCTCTTCTTTTAAATCCTGTCACTCTTAGTTGCCATGACGAAAGTGGCCATTTTTCATACCATAAAAATTGCATTAAAAATGCCCACTTTCGTAATGGCAATTAAGAGTGACAGTTAAGAGTGAGTTAAAAGAAGGTGCTGCAAAATAGCCATATGGAAACATTAAATTGGCAATATTTTGAAAACTAAACACTTGGAATAGACATTGCTACACAAACTTACACTTATTTTTAATAGTGAATATGACAACATTATCAAAAATGGGGGGTTTCATTTGAAAAAATTGATTTTGGGCGGTTGTCTCAATTGTATTTTGAAACTTATTCTTTTAACACTTTGTATTAATAGTTTTCAAAGTGTTTTCGAAATTCCATTAAAGTAAGTCCTTTTCAACTATAAATGCGACTCAACTTAAGTATGACAAATTCCCTTATAGGAAAAATGAATAATTATTCGAGTGGTTACAACTGTCATTTTTTACATAAAATTCTAAATACAACCTCAAAAACCGTTAAACTTAGGTATATTATACATAAAATACATTTAGAATTTGTAGTAGAATTCAAAAATCTAATAATATATAGGGTGTTCCATTTAAAATAAGCAAGTTGATACGCACTTCCGGTATAACCGGAAGTGTGGCCATATTTTAGGCGGCATGCCCCCAATGACCTCAGCACACTGCCCAATTTTAAAAATTCTACTAATTACAGGTTGCCAGATATCGATCGCGGCGGCTCCCGGTGGGTCACCCTGTATATTGTTGAGGAGGATTCTTGTTTTCACAAACTGTTTGTTGGGTATTTCGCCTCAAAAAATGTTTGTCTTAAAAAAAGACAGAATTTCCTCACGTCGTGCTCTTATTTTGGGATATAAGAGCACTGTTTACCAATCTGTAATAAAAGACGTGAGAAAATTCTTTTTTTAAAGATAAATATTTTTTGAGGCGAAATACCCAACAAACAGTTTGTGAAAAAAAAATATAAAAAAAGTTACACTTTCACCGCCATTGCTTGAAACTGAGCAACGCACCTCTGAGGATTCACCACACTCGGGCTTGCAAAACGTCCGAAAGAATCTATTGCGACCTAAAGGCCCGAAAAACTCACTAATTGTTAAAAAAATACTATTACTTAGTCCCATTTCAGCTGGCTGTTACAGACCCACCCTCACCTCGTATATTTATATAGTAATGGGTTGTTACATGCCCTTTTTCTCGGTTCCAACGGAAGAATCCATGGCTGCTGCTACCGGAGCATACATGAAGCTGCTTGTGGTTGTGAGCACACTAACGTCCTCATTGGCCATTAGTACCTATTTTGTGCTGTACTTTTCTTCGGATCCAGCATTTGATTTCGATGTACGCAGCCGAAAAATGTAAATACTGCATCCTTCCAATCGGTTTATATTTTAGTACTGCAGTTCTCTGGAAATTATTATCCGGACGATTGGAGTGATTCCATTCACAGATCTGCCTATGAAAGATGTTATCAACTGGTGTCTTCCAGGTGAACCGAAATAATGTTTCAAACTGCGAGTCAGGAGTATTTTTTAGAGCCCTTGATGCTTGTAACCTCCCTCATGCTACTTATGGCCTTTAAGAGGCTTACCAAAGGTAATCAAGGCGGTGAAACCCAGCAAGCTCTGGAGGAACTCAATTTGCTGGAAGCTAAAAGCCGCAGAAAAGTTCTGAATATGATCAGCTATTTCGGTAAAGTCGTCAAATTTTTCATGGATTAATTATAAAGTTCTTTAACACGTTTTCAGGAAAATACTTAGTCTGCCTGCTCTTTTGTCTTACCTCCATCTTAAAGCCCAACGTTTTTGGAGCTGTATACTACATAACTTTTCTAGTCGCACTGAGCTTGTGGGCCAATAACCAATCACTGGAGAAGGGGTTTGCTCGAATAATTGCCTGCTCAATTCCAGTGCTATTCATAAACATGACGATTCTATTTCTATATCAGTTTCAGTACTTTCAAGATAGGCATATATTTCAAAGTGTTATTGGACGGTAAGTAGAGTAAGGATGGGAAAAAACGGGCCGCAGTTTTGGTTTTAGGCTGTTTAGCTTGGTGCCTTTAAAGACCTACGAAAACTGCAAAGATCCCAGATTATTTAAATTTCATACGAGCTCTACCGCCACCTACATGATGCCTGTTTCCATCTTCATTTTGTACTGCAGCACTATTTTGGTCAGTAGAGATATTCTTCAGGCAAAGGTAATATTGAGCTAGAAAAATATGACTAAGGAGGATTTTTTCACAATTTATTGACGAATTGCCGTCTTGTTCAGATATCGATATGGACAGTCCAAGTCCACATTCACGATACCCAAGTTCCGAAAATTGGCATTTTAGACCACATAATCGGTTTAATTGCAAGTTGCAAAATAAACACTTCAACTCGATTTGCAGGGAAAATTAAGATAAGGCTTCGACTATTTTGACCAGGAGAAAGGCTGTTTTCTTTTGCGTTTAATAAAATTGTAAAAAATGCTCAATGGTCAATGTTTTCGACTTGAAACCATAATTGGTGTACATCGATTTTCTCCAAACATTTGAAATTACAAAATTTCTATCTTAGAATCTTTCCTAGTTTTCAGTATTTTAATTTTTGCTCCAATGTCTTTGTCTTCACTTCTTCAAATGAGCTCTTCAATATTATCTTCAACATCTACACTTATTACTTCAATACGAGAATTATTCAGGTTTCTCTTGGGAATGAATTTGTTTTTCAATGTGAAGCAATTTAGTGTCTGTAGAATTAGGAAAAAACTGATGGAATTAAAGTTCCATCTTGAGCTTAAAAGGACTTGTGCAAATAATTTGGTCGGTTACGTTTGAAAAAGGAAGATCTAATTTCTAACAAAACGTGGGTCAACTCTAAGAATTGTTAGTTTATCTGAATAACCGTGTAAATTTGTATAAATTACAGTTATTGTTTTAGGATGGCGTTTTTAATCTTTTAATAGCTGTATTTTCGTGTAAAAAACGGAGGAACATCGACGCTAGATGGAAAATGACTCTATAGAAGCTGCAGGTAATTTTTTACATCGATGCTCAAACTTTGCAACCTTAACTTTTCCTTTTGAACTGCAATACTTTAAATTGTATTAGTATAATAACGCATTTTTTGTTATTATTTTTTTATTGTTTTTGTTATTGCATTATCACCACTATTATCCAACTTTTCTTTAATTTTTGAGGCACACTATAGTGTTTTTAAAGTAGACACTCATACATTTGTCAACTATTGGATCTACACATTTATTGGATCTTTTTCAGGTAAACCGAGAAAACCAGACAATTTCCATAGAAAGTGGCTTGCTGATGGACCAAATTAAACTGATAATAGACCACATTTTGCAATTCGTGTTCAGCATTTCCCATTTAGCTGCAAATTTTATGATGATGGTACATCTTCTATTCCGCATTTCCATTCAAATATTTAGCAGAAAAACATTTTTTTAGATCTGAGCCATTGCTTTTGTTGGATGGAAAAGCTTAATTCTTCTTCTGCTTGCCAACTTGGTATGGATGATGCCTTCGAGGAAAAGAATGATGCTGTTCATGAGTCCATTTTTTGCAATATTTATGTACTTTTTATTGATATCCGCCTATATTTATTCTCTGGACTTAAGCGGACAGGAATTGCCTTCTACTGTGGGGCACATAGACTTCAGATCAGGTAAAACAAGCGAAGAATCAGAGAAAGTTAAAATTTTGCAGCGAACCTTATTTTTAGGTATTAATAGGCCAAACGACCTGAAATGGATAGAGTTGCTGGCCAAATCCATGATAGGAGTTTTAATCTTTACGACCATGAGGCGCCTTTTGCAAGAAAAAGCGCTGGCAAATCAACAAGCAGTGGAAAATGTCGCTGGAAGCAGCTCATTAACACCGGAAGCAAGTAAATATATTTTTTTAATAAGCCTGTTGTTGAGATTGGAAAAAATACAATGCAGAACGTTTGTACCGTTTTTAGATGATGCCAATCTTCTCTCATTTGCTGAGCCTCTCAAAAGTTCCATTCTACGTTTCTTTGCCACATGGTGGATATGGATAGTGGTGTTAACTATGCTTTGGATGGAGTTTTGGAACAAAAGCAGCCTATTCAGAATTACTTTTGTTGTTCTGGTTATGATATTTTTAATCACGTTTCAGGTAATTTATTTAAGGGCAGAAAGTAATTGTAAAGATCTTATGGAGAATCTGAAGCAGTTGCTTAAGCATAATTTGTATTTCATGCTATAGTTTTGCTCTTTTGCCACCTAGAAGAAATTTCTATGGTTTTATTGGTGGATTGTCATCGTTTACTCGATGTTCAACTTACTGGTTCTATACATGTACCAGCTAAAATCCACCAGAAGAATGCTGTTGTTACTTTTAACTGAAGCCCAGTAAGATTTCCAGATGTCCAGACGTAGTTAAATTCCGATCCAAACATTTTTATTAATTAATTAATGCTTTCAGTTTGTTTGTAGTAAGCTAACGAAAAATAGTGAGGACTGAAAAACAAATATTGATAGAACTAAAAGGTGAATTAACTGACTTTTGGAAGCAAATTAGTCGATTTTATAAAAAACGCGTTCATTGCCAAGATCTTTAATCTGATAAAAAGTTCTATGTAATTTGCTTGTTTTCGGTAAACTTTTTTGGATATTTCAATTCTCTTTTTTATTCAGATATCTCTTATAACTGCATCACTCGCAATGGCAATGCGGATGGATGCCATGGCGATTCTTTTGGGCCTTTGGCTGCTGATTATGTTTACTCTCAGTAGAAAATGGATGCTTTAGGCTTTAGTTTCCTTTACTACTGCTGATGGGTTTTGCCATTCCGGCACAGTATCTTAATTCGCTTGGATGGTGGCCATCATATTTTAACAGTAAGTTGAAAAGGCCATAAAATTAAGTAGTTGAATTTCTGATTCCCACTTAGAAAGCCAATTGTGTTGGCTGTATTAACACTTGAAACACTTCTCCAAGTTCCTCCAGCTGTTCCTCGTACGTTTTTTGTTGTTTGGTAGATTCGAAGACACTTTTCTGGAATTCGAACGATTTCCGCTTAAGATTGCACAAATTCTGCCATCTAATGAACATGGCCCATCCACCGAAACAAGAAAAAATCACCCTCGACTTTGTGCTTCTGTTGGTGTTATCCAGGCAGTGGTGGGCTTTCAGAAGAGAACGGAGAAGTGAAAATAGTCCAGCAGGCAGCAATGAAAGTGTGGTTCATCTAGCTGATCATCCGAATATTGTAAATCCCGTGCCAGATTTCACCACATATGCTAAGTGAGAATAGCCGGGATAATTGAGCAGGTTTTGTGAGGGTAAAGTGGTGTTTTCAGGAATACTTTCGACACCTGCAGCCAGATTTTGTTCAGCAGCTGGTTTTATTGGTCGTTAATGTCAGCATTTTTTGCTGGAATAATGAGAACTTCATTGTATTCTTTCGGGTTTATTTTGTGCGCCTCAGTGTTTCTTTGGGAGGGAAGCGACATTTATTTGAGGCCGCCCAATAAAATTTTATTGAGGTAAAAGAACTTTTTATGTTGAGATAAATCTACCATTAAATTTGTGACTTTTTCAGGTGGAATTGTTTTCTGGCCTACAATATATTGGTGATGATCGCTCGTGCAACTAGCCAAGTTTTCGGATGCGTTTCAACTGTGAAATTTTTAAGTAAGTGTTTTGGGCAAAAAATTATACATTTATCTGCAAGTTTCCAACTGGGACTGTATATTTATACAGTCCATATTCCAGGTTTTTTGCTTTTGGATGCGTGGATAAATTCAAAACGACCCAAGGTGTTCCGAACCTGACCAGTTCAGCTTCTTGTACAATTCACTATGAGGCTCTGGGTATTGGTTGGGACTGCGTTTCCTTCTTTTGCCTCATTTGGCAGCAACGGATCTTCAAATCGTACTACTTTATTCACTTGGTCACCGATATTAAAGCGCGAACTATTCTGGCTAACAGAGGTAAGTACTTAAGCGCACAGGAAAGTATAATCGGAATAATCCACCATGAAATGGCCCAGAACTTATTGCTGCTGCAGAGGAATGGGAAAATATCCCTCAGGAAGTAATCAATAATTTGAATATTGGAATGGATAGACGTGTAAAGGCGTTGTTAAGAAGTAGAGGCTTAAATACTGAATATTAATTATGTTGTTCAATTTTTGAAGTAATAACTTTTTATGGGAGGGTGAACCGATTTTTCTCGGTCACGGCGGCTCCCACTCGGGCCTCTTCGCGTCTGAGGCCTGAGGCTTGGGACGCACATATGCACTTTGAATTCGACATTTTTCTCTTAGTGCGGGTGCATCTGTAGATCTGATAAACTTTTCAAATACACATTGCGTTATTGAACTGACGGTAATTGTGATTCATCAATTATTGAGTGTGATATTATTGTGTTCGGTGCAGTTTAATTTATAACGCTGATAACAATAAATCAATAAATGAACAAGAAGAGATGAAGCTGCAGATACTGCAAATACTAGGTTAAGAGTGCTCATGTACTAAATGCCTGTTCGAGTTGCCTTCTTTTAAATTTCCCATTAAAGTACACACACAATTATACACACTAAAGCAGGTTAAGTGCAAAAAAATGCGGATTGTCCAAAAATTTGCAGAAAAATGTATTATAAACTTTTGAAAATCATCTTCAAACTACCGGGTATTTATCATTGCAAATGAGATTGCACATTGCCGTGTACTGTTTAATATTGTTTTAAGAACTAACAATCGATGTTGTGCAACAAAATTGTGCCCAAGATCCACTATAATAAAGTTTTTGAAAAACTGTTGGACCCATTTTAAATCGCCTTATTGTTGGCGGGCGCAAATTCGTATCAAGAAAAGATTAAATTAAATTAAATCGTTTCGATAGAATCCCGGTACCGATTCCCTATGTCTTACGTTTGTAGTCCA